AGAAATAAGGGGGAAAGTAACTCATAGTAATCACTATTTAAATCTGGAGGGGGTAAAAATGTACTTTGGATGAAGAAGCATGTAAACCTAGAAAACAATTTTAGGGAAACGTAGAGATTGAGCAGAGCTTTTGAAAAGAGTCAGAACCTGAGAAGAAAATGGGGAAAAGGTGGTTAGACTTAAAGGGTTTAGGCAAATTATCAAATGAATGATAAAAAATTGATACACGTGTTTATAGTAACCATAAGGATATAATCAATCAACCTATATCTTTTTAATGACCGCCACAAATTCAAATATGGAAGTTAAGTAGTTGTTTTCAAAGTCGATTACCATCTATATTTGCTCGACTTGTTATACATGATGTTCTTAACTAAATTAAACACGGCTCAAATAAATCAGAATAAAAGCTTTTTTTCCTTTTGAAAAGTAAATGATTTGTGGTTTGAGAGACCCGTAGATCTAAACCTTGGAATCACTCTTTACATTAACCAAAACATGTCAATACAAATTAATACATGAAACAAAATTAAGATCATATCTTTCAGCTTGCGCACATTGGTGAGAAACAAAGAGAATAACATATTATTAAACATTAAGAAAGATAATTGTGTTACGAAGATCTCTCAAGTTATATTATTGTTTCTTGCAGCCATTTCTTCATGAGTAATATAATAATGTGTCTGAAACCAATAAGCACCATCCACTTCTTTTATATTTATATATATATTACACTAAACTCAGTTAACAAAATATCATGACCAGCTATATAAAAGTTTAAAGTAATAGGAAAAAAAAAACTTCATTAGCTTACTTAGGAAACGAAAAGTTCATTTCTTACCTCTTAATACAAGTCATCCACAATTTACAATCAACCAGACCATGCATTTGAACGGCATCGGTGTTGCATAAGTCGCTCAACGAATTCATCTCCTGCATTAACATATTTGATTTATAGTTTTATACCACGAAAATAGAGAGCGACAAGCAAGGAAGCCAAGTTCCCTAGAACATGTTCCTAGCCTGGCCTAAATAGGTGAATGAAGAAGCGCGCCAAAGGCGATTTCTAGAGCTCTTGCTCCGCCTATCATTCTACTTCTTATTCTGGGGGTTACAGAAAGAGCGCACATTAAAAGTGTCGGTATATTTTTCGTCTCACCTACATCTCATATTTCATACGTTCACAACCAGACTAATAGGTCGAAAGAAATAAAGTAATATGAGACTAAAAAAGAAAGGGGAAGGGGGGAAGTACATGCAAAATTTGTCTTTCGTGAAATGCAAAATAAATATTTGTCTAACTTTTGATTGGGGGACGTTTAAAGAGTAAAAATATTCAGTAAGTGGATGTAAGATTAAATTAGCTTATAGAATTTGAGGAAGATAGTCACAAGTATTTTAGAACTCCTACATAGAATAGAATGAAGCAATATCTCCACTTTCATGTTCATTTAACGGACAAAGGCAGGAAGCAAAATACAAAGAATCATGTTTATTAGCTGGAATTTTTTTTTTCGACAATTGATTTGTTTATGTTTGAAAGTATACTGCTTAGTCCAAGATGAACTAATGACCACGCCACAATATAAAAAAATATTATGCTACAAATTGTTAGGTTTTTGTCCAGATGTTCTTCTTATAATTGGTTTTCCTATCTCATGAAGGAAAGGACAATATATTTACCATAATATGGTTTTTCTTTTCCTATAAGGAAAATATAATTATTCCATATTTGGCTAGTCCCTTTTCTTGTATGAAAAGGTTTGGAGTTCTATAAATTGAAGATCCGTCCTTCTCGTTCAGTAGCATCCACAATGTAGCTATATGGGATTTGAGAGTCGTGTTTAGGGGGAGAACTTTACGAGCCAAGTGTTAGTGTATCACTTGTGTTTGCCCCTTCGTGAAATTGTTCTCTCGATATTTTGTACTCTCTTTTATTATAGTGGATTGCTCATCTCCGCCGTGGACGTAGGTCAGTTAACCGAACCACGTTAAATGTTCGTATTTCTTTTGGTATATTTCTCTTTGTTGTCCGATCTATCGTCGTTGAAGGTTTGCTTTGCTAGCTTCTGCATAACACCTGATTTTTCCGTTCCTAACACAAATAACAGAACAAAATACACGAGAAGAAGACAAGAAACTTGTGGAGTAGAAATATTACATATAACATAATTAAGCATATCGAAAATAGTTCAAAAGCAATAATATAATATTACAAAATCTCATTAGTCCTCTTGTTTCATATATAATATACAAAACATTAAGAGATACTCTTGAGCAATAAATTCAAAGCTAAGGACAAAAGTTCGTACCAAATAGAGTCCTATAGAGTTGTCCCACTTTTTTGACATTTTGTTAATCTCTTATTTCTCCCACTTTTCCAAACTTTTCCTAGCATCAATATATTTATTCATTTCTATTTGTTTGCTAGTTTGTTTATTTTTAATTTTTTTGGATCGATCAATGTTGCTTTTATAGGTAAAAAGCTATTATAGAGAGATAAAATATAACATAAAAATAGATTTCGAGCAAAACTTAACTTTTATAGTAAATGACTTTTATAAAAGGATATTAATATAGCGAGATCTAACTGTACGAAGAATAGCTGATAATATTGACCAAGAATAGAAATAACTTATCGAATAAATATTGTGTCGTGGCAAGCCATTGCCTTGAAAGTGATTTCAGTCTGACTGGGTGCAAATCGTTAAGACCGCTCGCTCCCCAAAGTTTCACAGTACTTCCAAACACGCGCACTCTTAGTTGGAAGTTTGGAGTTTGCAAAAAAGGATTGCCCAACAAAAAATAGAAAGAAGAACAATCTTCTGAGAGGACGAGAGAATAATATTTTTGGTTGGTCTTTTTAATCACAAATGATGATGTTTATATAGGCAAATCATTTACGTTTTCTTCCATCAGAAAATCGTAAGAGGCCAGATAGGAGTTATTGGATTCGGCTTGTTCCCAAAGGAGCTCTCAAATCATTTAGGTATTGGATTTAACTTGTTCGAGGTAAGTAGGTGATGATGGTATGAAATTCCGAATTACGTGTTATGTGATATATGTTGAGGTGACGCGCATGCTAGTGACTGGCGTGTGGGCGTGCACCGTGTGAATTGTGATTTAGTCGATTCCATAGAACTATGTAGTTATCCTATCTGAACAATTTTATTGCACTCTATGTGTTAGAGCACCTGAGTTGTAATTGATGCTAGAAATCATGTGTTAGGCTATATGTTGGTATTATCGGGACCCATAGTGGTCGTTATTTGCTTAATTGCAGTTATGTACTCAATCGCATTCATCATTATATATCTTGTTGCAGTCTCTGTTATCGTATATTGTCACACCTCGTATCATTTGTTAGGCCGGCCGAGGGGCTGATTGTGAGTGATAATTACGGGATTGTGATGCACGCCGCATCATATATTATTTATTTATTTATGCTCTTATCTGGCTTATTATATCACTCGGGCTGAAGGATCCCCTCCGGAGGGTGTGCCCCCACACTGAGCGCTGGATATTATAGTTAGGATGGAGTTCCCTAGGCATGGAGTTGCCCTATATATTCACATTTGGGATGGAGTTCCCTGGGCATGGAGTTGCCCTATATATTCACATTTGGGATGGAGTTCCCTGGCATGGAGTTGCCCTATACTTTTATATTTGGGATGGAGTTCCCTGGGCTGGATTGGCCCTATACAGTATTGAGTGACTGACTGTCAATCACTATTTATATTGAGGGATGGATATTCTCTCGGTTGGACCTGCCACGTACAGTACTGAGTAATTGAGTACTCGGAGAGTTCGAGTACATGAGTTCATCACTGAGATGCATTGCATTTGACATGCGTACATGAGATACATGCACAATGCATTTCATTATGCTACCCGTTTTTTGATGACATTCATGATTCCACCTGTATATTGACATGCATGCATAGAGATGTATTTTCTTCGTGCTATCTGAAAATGAAACATCTTATTTATTGTTGAAAGATTTTTGGAAAAAATCACAGTTTTTAAATTTACTCATATATTTATTGAGGTTTTTCGGTGAAAGATTTGGGATCTACTTTTATACTTGAAAAGCATGCCTATTTTCCGTAAATGTGAACGAACCGAGTTATTTCTTGTACCATCTTTATTATACTGTTATGAACTGCTGCTGTAATTGGAATTGGACTCTGACCCTTATCCCAACTCGTCAATACTTTCAACCTAATGTTAGGTTTGTTATTTATCGAGTACATGGGGTCGGTTGTACTCATACTACACTTCTGCACCTTGCGTGCATATGTTGGATGTTGATGTTGATGCGTACGGCAGGAGCTAGATCGGAAGATGTATTGTGTTCCAATTATGGCTATCACTTGTCCTTGGTAGCATTAGATTCGAATTATGTTCATTTACATTTCGAACAGATGTTATAATTATTTCACTTAAGTCTTGTAAAAATCTAAATCGGAAACGCTCATGATTTGTATTACCAGTACTTGGGGAGTTGTATAAAATTCAGTTATTTCATTTTTGACTCACATCAGTATTATTATATCGTATTTTACTGTTATTTGACTTACCTAGCGGGTGGAGTTAGATGCCATCAACACGATTTGGATTTTGGGTCATGACATGTCATTTTTAAAATTTATCCATGTATTATTAATTCTAGTATTTGCTATTCAAGGGTCTAGGTATAAAGTTATACTTCAATTGTTGTATATAATAATACATGAATTTTTATCGTGATTTATCAAATACAACCAAATATTGTATAAACTCAATACATAAAAATATACCGATTAAATTTCTTATACAATGTATCAAAACGATTAAGTTTGTAAAAATATATTACTAGGGGTGTACAACAACAATAACTACTCAATATAATCCCACCAAGTGGGGTATGGGGAGGATAATATGTAGGCAGCCTTACCTACGTTGGAGGATAGTGAGAAAATAATTCCAAATGGAAGAAAATCTTTGACGAACGACGCTTGTTTAACCATTTTTCGGGGGGCATCTGTTCAAAGAAAGAACAACTAATTTATGTTGGCTCCCCTTATTTCATCCCTCGTCAGTCGTTCTAGTTCAATCCCGCTCAGACCCCATTTTCAAAAATAAATAAAAAAAATATAAGTAATAATGATTTACTTCACATAATACTCACGCGAAGAAGCACTCATCTGCCCTTTTCAGGTTCCTGAAACTTCCGCTTGCTCCTTGTGGGAAAATGGCGAACGAACCACTGACGTCCGGTCCGGTGGATCCTCTCCACGGCCTCGTCGGACTCTCTCTATTCCCCAAAACAATTAGGGTTTGCAAAGATGTATCAGTAGACCCTAAAGACCTCGTGTCAGTTCATAATTTCATGAAATCCTTGGTAACTTTTTTTGTTTTTTTTTATTTCCTTTATATACTAGTTCTAGCTCTATTATAGATCTGGTCAGTTAATTGAAAGTGATAATATCGTTACAATTCATTTCGTTATTCTTCAATTCGTTTGTGCAAACTCCAATTTCAACTTAAAATCAGTACAGTTCACTTTGTACTATGTGCAACAATTAACAAATTCATTTTTTCGCCTGTGACTGCGTATACCTTCAGCCTGGAAATTTTACGACTTTTAATTTTTGTTTTATTGAATGGAGTTTATTTTTTGTTTTTTGTCTTTGTTTTAGTATTTGGCTAACTATGAATAACTTGGATATCTTTTGGTGGTTGTATGTGACAACATAAATACTGTAATTTATCCATTTAATTTTCATTGATTTGGTTTGGCTAGTTATTTGATTTTTGAATGATGTCATGTTGATAAAGTTCTGTTCTTCATTATTATGATCATAAAGGAAACGAAGAGTCCTGTGAAGCTCTTTGAGGAGGCCAGGACCATTGTGAATAATGGTGCGGAACTTTTGAACACAAAGTTTATGGGCATTGATGGGGACCTTGCCATGAATGGCAAGAAGAAGCTCAAAGAGAGAAGACCAGGCCTTGGTCGCAGAAAGCCTCGGTTTGCTTTCAAGCCTAGTACAAGGTAAATTATAGTGTTTCCTTTATTCTCAAATTAGATCCTCTTGAAATGATGCTACTTAGCATATCTTGCTATGTTTTTGCAGTCAACCTCCTGTCATCTTGGGTTCTACATTAGAGTCTTTAGAATTAGACATGGATCAACTGGAAGATCCGGTGGAATTTTTTGCAGCTGCTGAAAGGTTGGAAGGTAATATTTGTTTCTTTAGCTGTTTGTTGAATATCTTATTGCGAGTTGAATATCTTATTCGGAGAAAGAGAATAATCATTTTACACATGGTCAATTTACAGAAGCTGAAAAGGAAATGAAGAGACTGAAAGGCATCAGTATCAATGAAGATGTGAATATTCCACTCGCCAATGCACGCCGCCGTCGACCAGGCATCTTGAAGTATACTTAGTCGCTCTACGCGTTTTAACATGGAAATGCTTATCTTACCTTTGTGATCATCCTCTCAACTTGCGGTTGCACTTGCTTAAAGTTTTACTCTTTCTGTCTCAGCAAATCGGTGAGGTATAAGCACCGCTTCTCGTCCATCCAGTCTGAGAGTGATAATGCATTTATATCATCTCAAGAGACATTGAGGAGTGATACTCGGGCTGGCCAGAATTCTCAGTTGCCAGAAGAGCCCCATGGCCTCAATCTTGAACTACAAGAAGCAGATTCTCCAGGTTAGCGGTTTTAACTAATCAAGAGAGATACCTTTTGATTTCTATATTCTATTTTTAACTTCCCGATGAGTAAAATGTGTTCCAGAGATACCATCATTTTTTCCTTATAAAAAAAGGAGTGTAATTCAAAGATGATGATTGGTTTTCAATTCGGCAGGGTCAGTTGAGAAAACAGAAAACCGAAACAATAGTTTTTTGGATGAATTACTGTCTATTAGTTGTGAAGATCTAAATGGGGAGATGGTATTATTATCCAAATTACAAGAGCGGTTGCAGATCAAGCCCTTTGAACTACGCCCCTTGTGTATTCCTGAGTTCCCTATGACTGGGAAAGCAGATGGTAAGGCTTTTGGACAGAGGATTCGGAAGCCTTGGAAGTTTTCGCTGGAGATACAGGATCTTGTTAAAAGCCCAACTGAGGGAACATCTTCCACTCACAGACAACATGAAGAAAGTCCTGCCAATAATTTAGCATCACCCACTCCATCAAAAAGTCCTCATGCTTCATTGTCTTTGTTAAAACAGAAAATTTTAAAGTCAAATCCACTGAGAGATCCTTTTTCGCCTCTCAACATTGATCTGTATAACAATGATTCGCAATCAGACCATCCACCAGATTGGTCTATGAAGATGAACCCACAATGTATAAGTAATAATGCTGGACCTACTGAATCCCATGGTGAGACAGAAAACGTTGCTGGTTTTGACAATACGAATATTATGGTTCCTTTAAGTGGTTCAGACTCTTCACACGAGCAATTGATGAAAAACGATTCAGGCGAAGATAATATAAAAACTGGGCCAAATGGATCTCAATCTGGAAAGGAGCTAGAAAATGGTTATGATGATATTGATATCAATACTGACATCAACTTAAATATGAGAAATATGGATTCCCACTATGAGTCTGATGTGCTTGATAAAGTGAATGATGTTTCAGTTGTAAACGATGTTATGAAGGATCAACAAGGTCTTCAGACTGAATCTTCCATTAGCTGTCAAAAGATGCAGGATGGAGAAGTGCTTGCAGAAACACTATCTTCTCCTCAAGCACAACGAAAAGCTGACGATATACACAATTATTCCGTTGAAACAGTTGCTGCGGATTCTGGATCATCTGAAATCGATTGGCAGGCAAGACTATCCGCCTTTTGCCATTATACTACATTTGATACATCATTCTGGCGGTTACAATTCCAAGTCTGATATTTTTCATTCATACATCAATATCAGGTTGACCATATGCCACCACAAAGAGAACATTCTGCAGAACAAGATCACCACTTTGAGGATTCTGTCAAAGATGTAACTAGTGGTAAGGTTCATTTTTAAATGATTTTTTTATTTCACGTCAACTTCATTATTTCTGAAGATGCTACATTTGAGCTTGTCTGTTTCCTATGTAGATTCTTTTGTATAGCCAAATGTTTGTGTGTTTTTCAGAGTAATCTCCGTCTTTTTTGCGTTTAACATAGCTTGAGTTTTTCATGGAATCATCGGTAGTCAACTTTCTGTTTTTTGACCCACTTGAATGTCCAACTCTTACTCAGGTGATGCATGGTTTTGGAAACTGAACATTTGATTGGTGATCTAGAGGATAAAGATTGAGGTGTGAAGTATTGGAAATTTAGTACTAGGAAAACAAATAACTTCCCATGTTTGCCAAAACTTGTGCTGCATTGTGATGCAATACCTTAGGTTGCTTTGAGATGATCTCTTATAACTTTTTTTTTTCTTTTTCGTTTCATCTCCCTTTTTCCAATGGGAAGATGCATGTGATGCATCTTATAAACATATTAGCTATGGAGAATTTGGAATTTGTGGTTGTCAAGAATCATGACTTTTGAACTTCACTATTCTTTTCTATTTTATTTTTTTTAAAATAAAGGTAATGGTTTTATTGAAAAGTTTGGGATAACCCTGCATACAAGTTGTATACCGTATAGAGGACCTTACAAAAAGATATGGTTCTCTTGCAAAAGATCCAGTCGTCACTAATGAAAATATTTCAAAAATAACAAGATTTCTGTACTATGTTTGAACTTCGTTTCTATCTTTGAGCATCATGTCAGGTTCTAGTTTCTAATTAACAAGACATAAGTTTGATAGTGATGCATGCTAAGTTATTGCTGTATTGATGCTGTATTATGTATAAGAACATTAAGGTTTCTATAATGTTTCACTAGCAAAGCACTTGGGATGATTAAAGTAACCCGTGTACTGAATGATGTTTCAGTTGTAAACGATGTTATGAAGGATCAACAAGGTCTTCAGACTGAATCTTCCATTAGCTGTCAAAAGATGCAGGATGGAGAAGTGCTTGCAGAAACACTATCTTCTCCTCAAGCACAACGAAAAGCTGACGATACACACAATTATTCCGTTGAAACAGTTGCTGTGGATTCTGGATCATCTGAAATCGATCGGCAGGCAAGACTATCCGCCTTTTGCCATTATACTACATTTGATACATCATTCTGGCGGTTACAATTCCAAGTCTGATATTTTTCATTCATACATCAATATCAGGTTGACCATATGCCACCACAAAGAGAACATTCTGCAGAACAAGATCACCACTTTGAGGATTCTGTCAAAGATGTAACTAGTGGTAAGGTTCATTTTTAAATGATTTTTTCATTTCACGTCAACTTCATTATTTCTGAAGATGCTACATTAGCTTGTCTGTTTCCTATTTAGATTCTTTTGTATATGTTTGTATGTTTTTCAGAATAATCTCCGTCTTTTTTGCGTTTAACATAGCTTGAGTTTTTCATGGAATCATCGGTAGTCAACTTTCTGTTTTTTGACCCACTTGAATGTCCAACTCTTACTCAGGTGATGCATGGTTTTGGAAACTGAACATTTGATTGGTGATCTAAAGGATAAAGATTGAGGTGTGAAGTATTGGAAATTTAGTACTAGGAAAACAAATAACTTCCCATGTTTGCCAAAACTTGTGCTGCATTGTGATGCAATACCTTAGGTTGCTTTGAGATGATCTCTTATAACTTTTTTTTTTTCTTTTTCGTTTCATCTCCCTTTTTCCAATGGGAAGATGCATGTGATGCATCTTATAAACATATTAGCTATGGAGAATTCGGAATTTGTGGTTGTCAAAAATCATGACTTTTGAACTTCACTATTCTTTTCTATTTTATTTTTTTTAAAATAAAGGTAATGGTTTTATTGATAAGTTTGGGATAACCCTGCATACAAGTTGTATACCGTATAGAGGACCTTACAAAAAGATATGGTTCTCTTGCAAAAGATCCAGTCGTCACTAATGAAAATAGTTCAAAAATAACAAGATTTCTGTACTACGTTTGAACTTCGTTTCTATCTTTGAGCATCATGTCAGGTTCTAGTTTCTAATTAACAAGACATAAGTTTGATAGTGATGCATGCTAAGTTATTGCTGTATTGATGCTGTATTGTGTATAAGAACATTAAGGTTTCTATAATGTTTCACTAGCAAAGCACTTGCGATGATTAAAGTAACCCGTGTACTGATAGCATAAGGTGTTATGTCACATATTGATACCTTTTGCCTTTGAAATTTCTAATTAGAAGTGTCATATCATGGTTAAAAAGCATTGAGGTTTCTTTAATGCTTCACTAGTGAAGTACTTGGGATGTTCACAGTAAATTTATCTGCAAATAGTGTATGGTGTTCATATCGCACAGTGATACCTATTGTCTAGTTTAAAGTTTGAATTGGAAATAATCCTTGATTCCTCTTCCTACTTCGATATTGTCAAGAAATTGAAAGATTTGTCAAACCCCATGACCCCTATTTCTCTAATGCCATGTATTTTATACGACAAGCAGTAAACCACTTAAATTGCACATGGTGAAAGAAAAGAATACTACGTGCAGTAATAATATGAGCCTGATTCTGTGACCTGAAAAGTTAATTACGAACCAACACTATGTTTGAATTTGCATCATCTCTGTAGTCATATTTGCACAGAATCTGCATCCTTAAAGATTGGCTAAATCTATTTTAATCTTCAGACTTTACGCTTGTTGGTGATATTGCAACTCTCTCTTGCTCCTTTTCTCCCAATTTCTTTCAATATTGAGCTCCTTGTTGTTCTTTTTTCCAACCAATAAAGCTTGAGTCGCGAGTCAAATCTTTCCCAGTCAGATGCTATAATATCTTGCAAGATTTAGATTTTGTTTCTTGTACAGACAATGGCTTGTTTGAACGTCATGAATTGGTTTTATAGATGTTTGGTGCCATTTCTTTTAGGCACTTTTCTAGTTTCTGTAGCTGCATGTGAGATATGAGATACATAAGTATGATTGTAGTGAAATCATGACTTCTTTGTGCATTTTAGCAACCAAAAGGATCCTGCTGTTTAGAGTCGGTCAGCTCTTCCACTTAACCCTGTAGTTGCGCTTGCTTTACGGACTTTTAAGTTAGTAATCTGCCGCCACCAAAAATAACTTGCTGCTGCTGAAATCATTCTCACATTGATCACCTTTTTTTTAATTTGATAATGTTTGTCGAGCTTCTATCATTCTTTATGTTATTAAGTCATCATAGTTTCCTTTTAAAGCAGATAAACTTGGGTACTTTTCACCACCGACGACTTCACTGATAAAGTTGCCTGTACTTTCTAAATTTCTGTAGTCTTTCTTGAATTTGATAGATAGTGGTTTAAGCCATCTTACTTTGTTTATCCTAACTAGTAATAACAGTCTGATGCTTGGGAAGAAGTTGAGAAATTTGATATTTTTTTTACAGATCAATTGAGATCAGTTGCAGTTGAAGTCCATTCTACAGAGGTCGGATCTATATTGTCAGAGATGAGCCCTCAGCATTATGCCCAGGTTGTTTCCTTTCTTCAGTACTCCTTTTTTTATTTTATCAGCAAACTCAAAACGCAATGTCCTATGGTGGATTTGCCCGTTTTTCTCGGAAAAGTAATTTTTTGGATCACAAGAGTAGACACACTTCTTCAGAGAAGTTCATATACACTCCAGCCGTCCTAAAAAATTGGCGAGTTTTGAATTATAAGGGTTCAAAATATCTCATTTCTGCATGGAGCTGTGGGGTTACACATGGTTCTTTTTATTATTAAAAGCTCTGAAAAAATCTCAGTCAAAGGAAATATCATTTGACTCCTCCAATTGTAACTGTCATATAGAAAGAGTGTAAAGCTTCAGCGCTTGTTCATTATAAAAAAAAAGCTTCAGCGCTTGTGCGTCAACAAATCTGCAGATGAATAAACACTATTTGTGGAGATGGTTTGTGCAAAAACATATAGCAATTCCCAGGTGTAACACAAACATTAACTGCTTTTGATAGCCATGATAATCTGATTCTCTTAAAAAGCAATAATGCTACTGATCTAAGTTATACACTTATACCAAATGTGTTGATTGCTGTCCAGGGGTTGGACATTTTAAGTTGTCTACTGGAATGACCCTTACGATATTATCGGTGTAAAATTTTGACAACCAATTTGTATAAGAGACAATAATTCTGACATGACCGTGGATATTGAATGATATAAAGTAAACACTGCAAAATCTTTAGCCCATAATGTCTACTATTTCTAGGTTTACATGTATGTACATGTGTTCTCTGCAGTATTTCTTTAGCTGTAGTGAGTATACTGATGTGTGATACATCATTTCTGATCCTTTAGGCAAAAGATAAACAACAGAAAGCAAAACGACCTGCTCGCGGAAGGCGTGAAACTAAAGCTCTTCGTTCTAGGCCAAGTATAGCAGGTTTACTCTTGCACCCATGAGCATGTATTTGTTAGACCTCTTGCTTTTGTGTGTTATATAAAGAATTTCATGAATTCGACAGATGCTGGCACGTCATTTCAAGATGGGGTTAGACGAAGCAAACGAATGAAGACAAGGCCTTTGGAATACTGGAAAGGCGAAAGGTTATTATATGGATGGGTTAATGACAGTGAGTATTTTCTTGTAAAATTGTATACTATTGTTACTTTGCTGGTTTTTGTTTTTTCTTTCTTCTGTTTGGATTCATTTGTTAGGCTCAGGTGATAATTCAGTTTGATTCTCAATTTTTTGTTTGTTTGAGAGAGAGGGAGGGAGGGAGGGAGGGAGGGAGGGATAGGCCTGCGCCATGCTTATAGTCTTGGGAAGGTAACTACTGGAAGAGATTTTCTTGTCCTCCAGTTGGGATGTTTATCAAACTTATGACACTGTTGGAGAGGTAGGTGGTGACATGTGCACATCTTGCATAAAATTCTACAAAAAAGTTGGAGATAACCTAGGTTGCTTACATGTCTGATAACCTATCAAAAGAAAAAAAAAGTTACTTACCTATCTGATAGAGTAAGCAAGTTAGGGTATCAGAATCCAAGTCTTGATTATTTTTTTGGCGGGTAATTTAGTTGTGTCTCTTCCAGTTGGAGATTAACTTAGTTAAGGCTCTTCTAGTTGGTGACCTACTAGCTCAAACTAGTCTTAGGAACTTGAATTGCAAGAAATTAGGTAATTTGACCCTTACTGTTTTCGTGCTTGAAAATCATCATTGGGATAATATGGTTGACATATTTCGTATATTAGTCAACCTCCTGAATCCCATAAATTGTCCACACAAGTTTGAAGTGATTTGAAACTAATCATTATTAGACGTATTTCATATATCAGCCGACTTGCTGAATTCCGTATAGGGTCCACAAAATTGAAGTCGGTCTAAACTGATTATCAGTGGAGAAACTTATTGCAGCCAACATCAGCCAGAATCTTTTGGACATTATTTCTACTGTAACCATGCAGGGAAAGTATAGTAGTTTATTCTCTGTGGCTATTCTAAACTGTGTTTTTAGCAAACACAATGAACTCATCTTTTGACTGGTAGTTTCTCTATTTAATCTGAGGGGGAAAAACAGCAGATTTAATGTAAATCTATGTGTTTCTGTTGCAGGTCTGAAGCTAGTTGGGGTGAAATACGTATCTCCAATAAAGGGATCGGTAAAGGTGGAGTCTTACATCTCTGATGATTACAAAGATCTGGTTGAATTAGCAGCTCGCTATTAATTTTCTAAAAACACGGGTGGATGGATTACTTTGTGGATCTTGTCCTATTTTTCATTTACTTATACACATGTAGCCATTGTATATAATGTTCCTAGGGTCGATCTTAAAACAGCTGAAGCTTGTTGAAGTATTATCTCTTATTTGTTGAGCGCTACTCTATTTTCTGATGAGCTGTTGGTGCAAATTGCTGCCATCTTTCAGTATCCTACAGTAGATGACTCCATATTTCTTTGACACCTACCATGTCTTGTTAATGTTAATTGAAGAAAGCCACATCTCACTTTTTCATTTTTAAATTTTGTATGAAAGGTGGTGTCTGCTTGCACCTCGACTATTCTCGGGTACTTGCTATGTCCTACTAGCATAGATACCAAGTATCCATGTCCTTGCACCCCGAAGCAATGGTCGATAATCCTGTTGATTATTCCAATGGCCAGAATAGTCTTCGGCAACAAGCTATAATAATATCAGCTGTTGTTACGTTTATATAGTTTGGATCAGGTTGGAAACTACGCTGAGTCATGACACATTAGGAGATAAATGAAAATCTGCGCATTGTGAACAGCTTACTATAGTAGCAGAATAAGTTTCTGCAACTATTCCTCGGTTTGAGCCCATTCTTTTGTTACTATATGAGAGAACTGCTTTGATGTCTTCATCGTTTCTTGTCCATTTTGGGGTGAACTTTAGAAACAATCAGAATGGTGGATTATAGTAAAAATAGCATGGTCTATCCAGTTCTCGGACTGGTCATTCAAAAATAGCCAGCGTTTACCAAGTAAATGAAAAATAGCCACTATTTTGCTGCAACAGAGACCGGTCCAGCATAATATACTGGAGTTCGGTGCACCTGTGTATGAACTTTCAGCATATTATGCTGGACCGGTATACTTTGCTGGCTCCAGTATAATATACTGGAGACTGAAGCACCGGTGCTCCAAACTCCAGTATATTATGCTGGACCAGTATATTATACTGGAACTCCAGTATATTAGACTGGAGTTCCAGTATAATATACTGGAACTCCAGTATATTATGCTGGAGTATTTTTTCGAATTTTGAACAGTGTTTTCGTTCAGATTTATCGTTACATGAAAAATGGCTAAATTTTGATTACTTTTGAAATTGGGCTATTTTTGAACGACCACTTGTAAATCTGGCTATTTTTGAATGGGAAACTTACATAAATGTCCCAAATAAATCTCAACTTACCAACCTCTAGCCATTAGTCATAGACTTACCAAAACTAGCCAACAAAAATTAAAAACCAAATAATAGGGTTCTTTCTCTCAAAGAATCACATGCAAAAATCACCTTTTATATTTTTAAGCGTGATTAGCAACATTAGATACAAGACGGAAAGGAAATTTCATGGACGGGGTAGCAAATAAGGTGATGAAATACAAAAATCTATACTATATTCCAAAAATCTAAACAAAAAAGGAACTTTTTAATGGGTATAGTTGAAATTCATTGAAAATATATAGATAAGTCAATATACAAAATTTGAGGAAGATTGGAGGTGATTTGGACTGGTTTTGTATCAAAATTCGTAATTAAATCGAGTTCAAAAAAGTCTCTGCGACACATGTATCAAACATGTATCACGCATGTATCTCACACACAAGTATACATGTGATACACAATTGATACAAATATGATACATATGTGACACAAATGATACACAGTGTCATACACATATTATTTTTTTTCATGTTTAGCTTTTACTTCGAATTTTTAATTCAAACTACCTCAAAACTTCACCAAATCATCCCAAAAAATTGAGATTCAAGCTCCTTAAGTTGTGCCCAATCTATTCTAATAACACCCACTCAAAACAAAGCTAAAATTTGATATTTTTTTGCAACAAATAACTAATTGGCTAATTTGGCTAATATTAGTAATATTCTATCAATTGGACAATTTTTGTAATGAGCTACTTATAAATGGACATAGCTGGTAATTTCCCTTTTTGAATTTCTCCCTGGATTATAGCGAATGTCCAAACTCAAGCTAAGATTATTGCCAAATGGTAAATTCAAGAAATAATATACAATTTTATGTTTACTCTGGAGAAGGCTTGTTCTTCATTTTAAATAGAGGAATTTTCAGAAAACCACTATTGTTTAGTTAGTGACTATTAATTTCCTATAGCTACCATATACATAATTACTTCTTATAGCTACTATTTAGTTGTTACGGTAGTATATTCACTGTATTCACGCTACTCTATTCATGAATATAGTAGCAAAAATAATATTTTAAAATAATTTTGGTTTATAATAAATAGGGTTGGGTGTATACCTTTGCTATAGGAGGTAAAATTACCAAATAGCATGGGCTAGCCAGTTTTCGGACTGGTCATTCAAAAATAGCCAGCATTCGCCTAGTCATTGAAAAATAGCCACTATTTTGCTGCAACAGAGACCGATCCATCATAATATACTGGAGTTCGGTGCACCTGTATATGAACTTCCAGCATATTATGCTGGACCGGTATACTTTATTTTGCTGGGACTCCAATATATTATACTTTGTTGGAACTCCAGTATATTATACTGGAGTTCCATCAAAGTATACTGAAACTCCAAACTCCAGTGTATTATGCTGGAGTATTTTCCGCATTTTGAATAGTGTTTTCGTTCAGATTTATCTTTACATGAAAAGTGGCTAAAATTAATGACTTTTGAAATTATGGCTATTTTTGAATGGCCACTTGTAAATCTGGCTATTTTTGAGTTTGGCCCTATATTGTTTGGGGCATTTGCATCTATACCCCCTTTTTGTGTCACGTTTTAACTTGTGCCCGCTTTGCAAAAAAAATTACAAGCGTACCCGCTTTTTCGCATAACTTCAGCATACGGGGCTGAAGTAGCAAAGGCAATCACGCAAAACTTCAGCATTCCAGTAGCCGGGCCTGAAGTTCAGCTCTAGAGCTGAAGTTTTTATTTTGTAACTCGCGAACTTCAGCTCTAGAGCTGAAGTTTTGTTTTGTAACTGGCGAACTTCAGCTCTAGAGCTGAAGTTTTTGTTTTTGTAACTGGGGAGCTTCAGCTCTAGAGCTGAAGTTTTTGTCTTTGTAACTAGGGAACTTCAGCTCTAGAGCTGAAGTGTTTGTTCTATATTTGATTAACATCAGCATGTTTTATGCTATCTGATCCAAACTCTTCTTTCTTTTGTCCAATATGTACGTAGTATACAAGGTATCCGTAGTTTTCACCCACGTTTAAGTTTGTCAACGCATTGGACTAATAAGCAATATGTCTTGTATGTAATGAGAAAAGTTAGTTTCCATTAATTTTGGAAATATTGTACCTTATCATAAACCCAACGTCCATTACCATCACCTCCATCTCCTCTGTACTGTTCTGAATCATTATAAAAAAAGACGACATAATGTATTTAATAATATTACCGGCTTGACATATGCCACTTTAGTTTGTTTCACCGAAATTCACAAATACAAAACTGAAATTTCAAAGAACTTTTATTGTCTCTTGGTTTGGGATTTAATATTATAATAATCCAAGTGGAAGTCCTCAGTATATTTGCTTTAGCTTCATTAATCAAAGAGAGCAATGTTGAAGTCATCGTTGTAGAAGAAGAAAGAAGAAAAAGAAGGAGGAGAAGGAGGAGGAGAAAGGCGGCTGAAGTTGTTTAAAAAGTGAGTACAAGTTAAAAGTTTTAAAAAAAATGCATATAGGTTAAATGTGGGCGACCAAATAGGGCGTCCCGTGCAATTTTTTCATATTGTTTTGCAAAGGGAGGCCCAACGGCCCGTCTGGTGACAGATCCAGGTATCTACAGAGACGGCCCATTAAAATAATTATCTAAAATTGATGGACCACTTTCTTACACATAACATTATTCTCGTCCACGACTAGCATATCTTCTCGTATTTAATGGTTGAACCTTGACCAGTCGTTTTGCAATTTTGAGCTTGTCTTCAGTCTCATCTTCTTGTTTAGCTTTGATGAAACACGAAGGTGACCCATTTTAAATCATTTATGGTTGTACGAACATTCCTGGGCCTTGGCCCATCTTAGAGAAATTCGACATGCGGAGAAATTGTCATGAGTAACCTGTGAATTGAATTGATCAATAAGGCCGAGACCGAGCAGTGATCTATAAGGCCGAGGTCGAGCAGTGATTAATAAGGTCGAGATCGAGCAGTGCAGATAGATGTAACAACTAGTTTTGCTTTGGAGTCTTCGAAGGGAATATTCTACTGGATATTTCCTCTATTGTACCTTTTAAGGATTTTCTAGGGATATCCCTTATAAATAGGAAGAAAGGACTTCTCTAAGGGGGGGGGGGGGGGGGGGACACTCTCTCTTTTGAAGATATATAAACACATCTCTCTAAAGAGATTAGATGATTTGTATTTGTCTTGAATTTGTCTATCATTCATCTTTATCAAATGAAAGAGGATCTGCCTCACTCAAGATTATGTGAATCTTTTCCTTTATTTATATTTTATTGCCATTTAATGTTACTTAATGCATCTTTTTCATATTATTAAATCTGGCCATAATCACTGCCAATATTTATACTCAATTATATTTTCCTATTCATGTTATTCATCTCAGATCTAGAACTAATTTTCCTTAACTAGAATTTACGCTCTATCTTCTTATTAAATTAATTTAACAAAAAGGTCCCATACTTTTTTGGTCAAACAGTTAGTCCCCTATTCTTTCAGCCCTCTTATCTATCACTATGAACAAAATTCCTCAGCGCAAAGATTTAAATCATCAAAAAAGGGAAAAACACGTAGCATCAAAATTGAAATCTAACAAACCATACAGTTCTATAGTCTAATGGTATGATGAACTCTTATACAATAGTTGTAAACTTCTCCTATGCAGAAGAAAACTTTAATAAAAAATTATAGGTATATACGGTCAAACCTCTCGGTAATATATAGCCTCGTTTATTTCGATATTTTTTTGCTGCTATAGCAAACTGTTGTTATAAAGAACATATATTACTACTCTCTCCGTTTCAATTTATGTGAACCTGTTTGACTAAGCACGGAATTTAAGAAAAAAGGAAGACTTTTGGAATTGTGGTCTTAAACAAGTCAAAAAGGAGCCTAGAGTATTTGTGTGGTTATAAAAACTTTTCATTAAGCGTAGAACTATAAGTTTTATAAACTAAATTGTTACCAAATTTAGAAAGGAGTCATTCTTTTTGGAAATGGACCAAAAAGGAAGTGGTTCACATAAATTTGGAACAAAGGGAGTATAACTTAATATGAAAAATTGATTTCAAGAAATACTTGACCATTTTAGTAAAGTATTGTCATAGAGGATAATTATTATAGAGAAGTCTAAAGGTATATATTTTGGATACTCAGAATATCGGAGCTTGAGGAATGAAATATACAACAGCGAATTGCATGCAATCCCAGATTTTTAATCTCTCTCTACTTGTATGGATTATTTGCAATGATTTGTACTGACATGTAAACAAAAAATTTGGTTCCTATCATCTCAGCATCACGCAGCTCTATAAGAAATTACTATTATATTTCCCAAACATTTCAATGTTTACGTACGTTGGATATGAATGCTGGCCATATTTTGATATATTTTTGTTCTCTTGCAAACATTATTTTCACGTACCAGCTGCATGACACTTCTTCAGTCTTGTACAACTAAATAATTACTTTGCATTATAAGGACAATTGGATGTATAATATTCAGTGAAAATGAAAGGTTTTTACTCTGGAATTTTCTACCCTAGAAGCTTCACGAATGGACGTACTCATGACTTTTGTCTGCTTCGCTTTATTTCCATGGTAGAGCACAACACACGGTGAGCTCTTTTCGTTCTACCACAACTCCATGAAAAGACCTCCACTATTCCAGTTAGCTCCTGTTTGAATGCATGGGCATGCAAACCACGTGTCCTTCACGTGACTAGGGCCCTATAATTACCATTCCGACCACACATATAACGCATACATGCACTTTACTTTTTTATACGCTAATAATGATAAAATAATTTTTACATGCTATATATTCACCTGAGAAATAACAAAAAGTAAACGTACATAAGAGTGAGTAACCTAAAAAATTAGACATGCAATATAACTTAGTATTATGATATATAAAAAATTATACATTAATAATATGAAATAATTTTACCGCATCAATATTGTACGAGTTAAATCCTGTTGATATACGGATGGCAAGTCTATTTTTTTGTTTATTTATCAAAAACAATTCACCCAAGCTATATTGACCCGAGGTGATGGGTGGTTTGCCCAAAACCTTACGTGTCTTTAAAATTACTTAAATAAATGCACGGAGGAAGACATAAACCTTAGCCTCTACATTAATGACGTGGACAATCTGAGTTGAAATGGGAAAGAGAGGCCAACTTTCGTTCACAGCTAGCTGTATATTACCCTTTATGAGTCCAATTAATGCTGTGTTTTTTGATATTTTCTCTTTGAATATTGGGTGAGGAGGCAATTTTACATACTGTGGATTATAGGGTACGTTTGTCTTAGTAGTGATCAACAAAAACTCTTATGATTAGGTCAATATGTTTGGGACAAACTATTTGTCACGTGTGACCTCTTGTGGTTTATTAAAATATTAGTAATGTTTCATTTCCTTGTCCAACCCTAAGGAAACATATGCTCGGTGGGGGAGTAACACACATACTTTTTTTTTCCTACTCTCTCTTAATCACAAAATAATTAGGAGTATACGATCGGAATGATATAAAATTTAGGTCATGAGACGAAAATTGTCCAAACTATATAATTAAGGAGACCAATTACTTATCCCAAAATCGATGTTAGACTAATTCCAACAAAATATCTTCGCCGCCCATTTAAGAAACTATTCAACATTATTGATCACTTGAGAGAAAAAAATAAAATAAGTAACGAGGGATTGTGTTGAAGATCTAAAAATAAATAAATGAGACAATCCGCATAATTTAGCATAAGATATTGCAATTAAAGGTTTCCAACAATATTAGTATATACTAGATGTAGCAAAACCTTTTACAATATGCCACTTTAGTTGCTACAGATATGCATCATGGCTGGACTTCAATCAGAGCCGGAGCTAGGATTTGAAATTTATGGGCCGGATTCAGAATTCTAATCCGTTTAAGTTATTGCATTTTAAATTAATAATTAGTTATTCAATGAATTTCTTAAGGCAAATACAGAGTTTAGACTAAAGCTACTCGATTCAACCGAATCCGTATTTCGTATTCTAGAACATGTTTTAGTTCTTAACTACCCCAATTAAGGATTGCATTTTTTTGAAAAGATAGCATGTGCAGTAAAAGTTTTGAGTTAATTGGTTGAGTTACGAGATAATGGAGTTGAGATCATTTAAAAGATACGTGCACATGGAAGAGAATGTCTACTTAATATTCTGAATTTGTTTGGGAGAAGACCAACTATAATGGAAAATAATGACTAGAAAATAATTATATATAATGATTTCTAAGGAATTCAACGTAAGATTCTGTGTCCTAATATTGCAAAATATATTCGGGTATAGCATATTATCTTCTTATTCTTGTGGTATAAACTGATTGTCCATAATTGGAAAAATTATGTTCATTTATTAACATGATACTATAATTTCATGTTGGAGGTATCCCGCACAAATTTGTCTTCTTGACAAGTAGCAAATTTCGTAAATTTTCATTTTCTAAATCTTCTTCTACGAGTTAAATATGAGTATTTCGCGGTCGAAATTGACAAACTTAATTCAAATAGGTGACTAATTATTACTTCCTCTATTTCATTTTATGTGGTAAAGTGTGAATATGTGTGAAGTTTAAAAAGGAAAAAATAATGACTTTTGAAACTTGTGGTCTAAAACAAGTCATAAATATTTGTGTAACTATAAATCATCTTATCAAACATAAAATGGCAAGTTTAAAGTTAAATTATTTGTAAAATTAGAAAGCTACAATTCTTATTAGAGTGGACTAAAAAAAATATTGTCACATAAAGTGATAATTTTGACAGTACGCAGTACTTATTTAATTTCGTGACTACTTCAATTCCTAATTATTCATTTTGCTTTACGTTTCTCAATTTTTTCAAACAAGGCCATAAGAAAATAGCACAATTCACATTGTGTTTTACTATTTTCCCTGATCATGACGAAGTCATAATCGTGGCGGAGTCACCTTTATTCAAAGGGTGTCAAGTATTACTTATTCTTCAAAAATTATACTATGTAATTAGATAAAACAAAAATTATACTATTAAATTTCTTTGACTTCTTCTTGTATTTAATTACATTTTATATTTTAATTTCTCCTAATGAAAATTTTGACTTTGCCAGTACTTAATTAGCTAGTCCATATGTGAAATGATTACGCGTCAATATGTATGCATCTTTATTTATTGGCACACGTATATGTATATATATATATATATATATCTGTCTGTATATACTACATACATATTGGGAACCCTTCTATCAGGGAGATCACATGGCATGTTTTTCTCTTAACAATATCAAACGGTCACAAGTAAATCTTCAAAAATTCTCTGAAAAAACAAGAACCCTACGATCCTGCTTTCATAGAAAAATTAGCAAGTTGGGGGGCCAATATTATTTTGTGTTTAATTAGGTACGTAGCATATAGTTCCCTACCATTGTATCTCATGTGACCGACCATTAAGTTTAATTTACCTGGCATTGCTCCTACCTTGTCTTCTCTTCTTTGTATTCTCATATATATATATATATATATATATATACTAAACTCTACTCCTTAACCAACTAATACAAACCAACTATATATTTCACTCTTCAAAACACAGAAAAAAAAAAAAAACAAAAGTGAAAGAAGAAAACAAAAGGAAATGGCAACAGAACTTGAAATTACGGAGCTAAGGTTGGGACTTCCAGGGGGGAAAATGGAGAAAAATGAGAAGAAAAGGGTGTATTCTGAAATTACATGCAGTGACCAAAACAGCAGCAACAACGTTAATTACGATGATGATAATTATAAGTACTGTCAAAACAAGAATCAAGTTGTGGGGTGGCCGCCGGTGTGTTCTTATCGGAGAAAAAACAGCTTTAAAATGTACGTCAAAGTTAGTATGGATGGTGCGCCATTTCTGAGGAAAGTTGATTTGAGCAATCACAAGGATTATTCTCAACTTGTTATGGCTCTTGAGAAGCTCTTTGACTGCTATGGAATTGGTTAGTCTTACGTTCTCTGCACTTCTTAATCATTAATTTAGTGTTAATAATTATTTACATGAATTTTTGTACCCTCGAGGTTTATTTAGGCAAGTGAAGTTACTGTTATAATATTTCGACAATGTAATTTTTTTATACGTTCTATGTAGTTTAATCAATAACTAAAGGCGGAGCTAGGATTTCAAACTTATGGGTTCGGGACTCTAATCAACAAAACGATCGGAAATGTTTCAAAAAAAGTAGGCATACGACGTACAAAAAGTTCACGCCCTTCTTTACCGTTTAAGTTACTGGGTTCTAAATTAATATTTGTACACAATTAATGAATTTTTAAAAGATAAATAGAAGGTTTGAAGTTTGAACTAAAGCGATTGGGTTCGGCCGAATCCGTAGCCGACACTGTGGCTCCGCCCCTGTCAATAAAGGACTGAAGTTATATGCATTGACGCTTTATTTTTATTTTTTTAAAATTATAGTGTAACTTTACCCGTGATAGCATGTTAATTATTATTACTATTTTCTTTAGATTATCAATTAATACTTATTATAGAGAGTTAGTTGTGATTTCTAGCTTATCCTATATATGTGATATGATTGTGCAAATATTAATTTTACATAAAACTTGAACTCATGATCTACTATATAAATAACAGATTAATATTCGTAACATTTAAATGCAAAAAATTAAAGAAAAGAAAAGACAAAAAGGAACTAAAGAGAAGTTGAATTGTGACAGGGAAAGCATTAGAGGATGCAGACAAGTCAGAGTACGTTCCGATATATGAAGACAAAGATGGAGATTGGATGCTTCTTGGCGATGTTCCATGGCAGTAAGTTAATTCCTTGAAATTATATATGTTGTTGGATATCTGCTGTATTTAATTTGGTCAAAAAAAAATCTAAAGAAATTACTATATGAATTTGCAGAATGTTCAGTGAGTCATGCAAAAGGCTAAGGATAATGAAGAGATCGGATGCAAAGGTTATAGGGATTGGCGCAAGAGACTTTCTCAAGAGAAATGAGTAATTATGCATGTTTACATATGTAACTGTAATCTTAGGGGTGATGCGAACACCCTAGACTTAAGTTATGATTTCCTCTTAATTATTCTAATGACTATCTATTTTCGTCAATAATTTGGCTATGTGAACCCAAATATTGTGCTTAAATTGTGGCCAGCAGCTAACGCACTAGCATTTGCTACCCTTATCTTTTTCCCTTGTTTCAATTCACTAATATTCTTGGTATCTTTTAATTTTTGTTTTAACACAATCAATGTTCTTGAAAATCGAATTCATATTAATAAAAATCATATTTGGAATTTTTCTTGTAACACAATGTTCTTGACTCGAATTCATTTAATAAAAATCATATTTTTCCAAACCGTATTAGGCTAGATCCATATCATCTAGTGCATTCTCGCTTCTTCTTTCTATACATCGGTCCAAAAAAAAGGTGGTGCTAAAAAATGAAAGTCCAAATTAAAATTAAAATCGATTAGCCAAAAACAGATGGTGCTGAAATTGGGGGCATTTGCATCTATATCCGTTTTTTGGGTCACGTTTAACTTGTGCCCGCTGTATGGGTCAAAATCCGATCTCACGGTAATTAACGGAGTTAATCTCGTCTTGAGCTAATCCATAATTAAAAAGTGGTATGGCCACTTATTCATAACAGGATTCGACTCTTGTCTGATTTAATCTACAAGGGCACGACCCATTCATTCCCCCGTGGGGACGAAACCTCAGCGTGGCCACGGCCATTTATTGCCAGCTCACGAAGCTCACATCTATAAATACTAAGAGTGGAAGCCCTAGAAAGGGGGCTGCTTCTTCATCACTATTGACAAAAGAGAGAGAGAAGAGAAAAATATACCCATCTTATGGCAAGAGAAAACACCATTGTAAGGCTCTGAACCTCTTCATGGAGAGGCAGACCAAACCAATATTATCAATAAAAGCTGTTAAGACTTCTTCCCCTAACCTTGAGTACTTATTTTCATGTTCTTCGCTTGGTCCGATGGATTATTACGATTTGCTATGATTTTCCCGTAACTTATTTGTATTGTTTTGCACTCATAAAGCACATGATAACTTTTGAGCAAACACCCACTTTGCAAAAAAAATTACAAGGGTACCCACTTTTTCGCGTAACTTCAACATACGAGGCTGAAGTAGCAAAGGCAATCACGCAAAACTTCAGCATTCTAGTAGACGGGACTAAAGTAGCAAGTGTGCTGAACCAAGTGTGCTGAAGTTTTTGTTTGTAATTGCTGAACTTAAGCATAGTAGCTGAAGTTTTGTTCTCTATTTGCTGAAGTTTTTGTTTGTAATTGTTGAAGTTTTTGTTTTTGTAACTGGCGAACTTCAACTCTAGAGCTGAAGTTTTTTGTTTTGTAACTGGCGAACTTCAGCTCTAGAGCTGAAGTTTTTGTTTTGTAACTGTCAAATTTCAGCTCTAGAGCTGAAGTTTTTGTTTGTAACTGGCGAACTTCAGCTCTAGAGCTGAAGTTTTTGTTTGTAACTGGCGAACTTCAACCTTCTTAGAGTTGAAGTTTTAACTGACTTTCCATATGATTCGATGTCAATTTGGTTTGATTGGATTGGCTCCTTCAAATGGTGTTAACTTGATATTCAAAGACAATATCCTTTAAACCTAGAAGCTAGGAAGTTTCTTTGTTGGATACTTCTCCACTGCCACTGGTTGCCCATTTAATTTCTTCTCATTTATTTGTTCATGTTTAACCTTTTTCAGTCCTATTGACTTACTGTGGGTCTTGAATACCTTATTTTTCTTAGGTTCTTTTGGAATTATAAAACAGTTTGACACAATCACCAAAAAACATTTGGTAAGGAAGCTTTGAATTTCTTCTAATGGAACTATCGGATTGAGGGCGGATATAACTTTGAGGAGGAGAAGGAGGAGGAGAAAGGGGGCTGAAGGTGTTTAAAAAGTGGGTACAAGTTAAAACTTTTAAAAAAAATGGGTATAGGTTAAATGGGGGCGACCAAATAGGACGCCCCGTGCAATTTTTACCTGAAATTGGGACGGTTAGTCTATTAAAAATTTAAATTTGGTCATATATACTAGCAGGGGAAAATTTAGCTTTTTGTTATTGTTGAGCTGTCAAATGAAGCAAAAGTTTGGAAACTCGTCTCAGCCAAGCTAACTTTTACTCTTCATTAACCTAAAACTTCTTATGATTATGTCCTATGTTGCTCGGACTCTTATAAAATATTATTGATAGGTGCATGTCGAATGCTCCACAATAGTATATTATTTGAGAATCCGATACTGATAGTAATATTTTGGAGTGACCGTACGAACCTTGAATCTCAAAACAATTTGAAAAACAGATTAAGCAGCCCTCTAAACATGCAAAAGAAGTACATATATCACAGCTATATTAATTTTACAAAATTAAATGTCGTATTCCACTTCAAAATTGCTCAATGCAAGGACTAATTATGTTGAACTTGGATCTATCAAACACCTATAACTCGAAAAAAGTGTACAATATCATGGGAGTTAGGGCTTTAGCCTAGCCTAGGAGAGTTAAATTAAGAAACTAAATTATCAATATCAAGTAGATAAGCATCACATCTACATGTTCATGCATATTGTTCAAAAATGGAAAGATTCCTGTTTAAGTCCAATGGATCAATTATCTTTTTCTTGGATCGTGAAATACTGATGAACCTTGAGTTTTAATTGGGTATAAGCACTGACGTACCATATTATGAATATTCTTTATTTATCACAACTAGGACTTATACAGTATTTATTTAACTAATCGATGTACGTGACCTTCATTCAGTGTTACATGAACACAGACTTAGGTTTTAACTTCCACCGAAAACCCCAAATTTTATTAGTCAAACCTTCGGTGCTGAACAAGCAATTAGTGCACTTAATTACCAATAAGGATTTGTAGCGTGATAACTACTCCTTTCTCCTTTACTAGAAATTATAGGTTCGAATCGCCTTTGTTAGGGAGCATCTTACCTCTAATGTCAGTCTTTTCAATGCGAATTCAAATTTAATTGAATCCAATGTGAATAACAGCGAATGAGAAACAAAAAAAAATACTTAATTATTTCGAGCAGACTATAGAAACCATGGACCATGTTCTTAGATCATGTTACTCCTCAATTTTCAGTTTTTCATACATACGCGAATAAGGGACTGTATGTATGTATATTTATATTTAATATATAGTCCAAGAGAGAACCAAGAATATTATGCCTATGTCAACAACTAGTAATTCACATTATTAATTTGGCAGATGGAGAATCTTCAACCGCTGCATATTAATATGTTTAATAAATAGATCAACTAACTAAACTGAAATAATGGCCCATAATCAGCATGTAGAGCTACGTCCGACAGAAGGCATTCTTTTCAATGATGTTAGGGAATAACATGTTTTAAATAATGTTAAGTTGGTTAGTTTATGCACTACTCCCTCCGGCCCAAAATAAGTGATTTTTTGGCCTTTTTCTTGTGGTCCAAAATAAGTGGTTTTTTCAGATTTCAAGAATGAATTAATTATTTTTTGCCTACATTGTCCTTGGAGTAAATAGTGTTGGAATATGTGTTAGGAGTGTTTATGTGAGATAATAAAGGTTAATATGGTCAATTCCATTGCTAATTAATGTTAAAAGGTGAATTTCTTAATTTGTGTGAAAACATCCAAAAAATCACTTATTTTGGACCGGAGGGAGTATATCACATGATTAAGTATATCCAGAGCTAGTAATTAAAATGTGTACATAGCATCCATTCGATCTCTTCTTTCTTCGTTAAATGAGGATTGACTAACCATGGGAATGTGTCGGGGTTTTAGACAACATCTACCTTATCAGAAATTATTAATTGCCATATGACCACCAGACAATTCAGTTATTGCAGAATTTACATCTACGCTAAGAAATCAAAAGTTTCTTTCATACTACATCCCAATAATTTAGTTTAGTTTAATTAGTTTTCTTTTACTTTTTGCAATATAATTATATTTTTCTTCGGCAGAAAATTGAACCAGAATATGAAAATTAATTCTTTCAGGCTCAACTTTAATTCGCCAATGTGAAAGTTATGTGTTGACTTGCAGTCTCCGATCCTCATATAGTGTTGGTAAAGTAAATGGGATATCGCTCTTTATTTACGGTAAGTCATATTAAAGTCTAGTTTTTTTTTTCGAAATCGATTTTTAAGTTATGTTATAATATATATCCTTTATAACATCACTTCAACATATCAGCCAAAAATATCGGAACAAAAGAGACTATTATAAAGAGGTTTGACTGTAATATTGAAAAATAATCACCACCAATAAAATATAAAAAAATTCAAGATTTGAGTTAGAAATTAAACAACGTTTATTTTTCTCATCGTGGTATTTAATTAGAGACGTAAAACACATCCCAAACGTTGGGCTACCAAATGTAAAACACTCATCTTATGTTACTTCACGCTCTATATGCCTGATTATGAGCATGCGGAAAAGGGAGAGGTATTAGAATCACATCTCAGTAATTAATTAATTAATGCATGATCTCAAAATAGAAAGGATCCATGAAAAAATTAGGATAAGATACAATATTTTAAACTAATAACCATCTATATTATAACTTGTTTCATATTTTTAAGTTCATTAAGTTTATGATAATGGACGCCAAAGTACATAGTTTGCGATAAATGAATGCGAAAGTACACATTAAGTTTGCATCCATTGTCACAAAAGAGCACTGAGTCTACGTGTGACACGCTACTAATTTAAAATTCTGGATCTATCTCTACTCTATTCACGGAATTTTAATTACCTTTCAATTCCTATGTTTGTCTACATGCTCTAAATGAACTTCACTACAAGAAAGAACTCAAGATGGATGCTTGTTCACGTACATTGAAAAAGTTAATCTGATCATAAGTGCCATTTTCTATGAAAGGTCAATTAGTTTTGTTTTTCTTTCAAGAAAAGGATGGTACAATCGAATTTGAAAGTATGCTACGTTCAATCATTTCTAGTAAAATAACTTTAAACGTCGAACACAACGATAACTGATCCATGCACAATGTCCTTGCCTAACACGGCGTTTAAATTGATATTTCGGTTAAAAATCAAATTAAATTACTCTGCAAAAAGAAAGTTGAATAAACTTTAAAAGCTGATAAACTTACTTGTGAAGATACTAGAATCATTTAGACACGTCATAACTTATCATGTTTGACAAAATTAAGCTAACGA